TCCACTCCGCGTTCCACCCGTTGGAACCCGGCCTGCGCGCCCATGAATGACCATTTTGCGTATTCCCGCGGGCGCTCCGGGCTTGGCAAAAATGAGTTTTCACATATATGATGGATTATATATGTATTATATGTATTATATTTATGTGTATATATATATGTGTGTAAATATGGTTGGATATAGTGTATCAAATGTTGTATGAACATGTATCAAAAATACACTTGGGTATGGTACAGCACATTGAAGATTGAGATTCCTGAGCTTTCGATGATGTTGCATGAACAACATTGAAGAACATGGATTGGGAAGGAAATTGTCGGCCAACTTCATTGGTCACCGAGCAGAAACCTGGCTACGAAAGATGGCAGCCAGGTCAGGTTCTTAGCTGGAGATAGTTGCCTCCAATTCCCATCTCTACCCATCATTCCAGTGACGTCATACCAGTGAGGTCGTCATGAAAATGTTCCAGATCCATTGTTTTTACACATAGAATATTATTCGGCAAATAAAACAAGATTTTTAGCCATCAAGAAACACCAATTCCATTGATCCATGTAGCCCCCAACAATGGCTGAATGCCATCATCCCCAAATGACCACGCACGGCCTGCTGGTTCCTCGGTGATTGAACCGTCTTCCAGCGAGCGGATGATGCCCTCGATCTTAGCAGAGCTTAGTATGGACGAAGTCATTTTGATGCACAAATATCTCAGATATCCCATCCCCCATCCGCAACAAAAAACGGATCCTCGAAAGGAACAGATCCAGTAGCCGTAGCCACAAATGGTGGGAAACAAGTATGTCCAGGACAAAGCGCATATTTTTTGGTGTGTGGTTTCACTTTACGTTTTGGGATCGAGAAAAGCTGTAAAACCACCGTGATGCTCAACTCTTCAACTCGTCACCTAGTTGTCCCGAGGAACCCCTTTTCTGATGCGAAACTTTGAACAGACTGGAAAAACACCACGGTCTGGGTTTCAAAAATTGCAGAAAAAACACTTTCAATGGATTGGTTTAAGGGAAAATCTACAGGAAACCATGGTTTTTACCATCAAATATAAGGGTTTCCATGGGGGTTCCTGAAAATTTTCCCATCATCCAACTCTATGACACCAGTCCCGCTTCAGCTACCGTCGAGCCCAGTCGTCCGTCGTCCCGGTTCTGAACTCTACACTGAGTGTGCCCACCGCGTGTGAGACCGCCTGGCCGATTTGCAGTTGCCTTTTGGATATCACTTACTGGTTGGTGGTTTCAGCCCCCCTGAAAAATATTAGTCAGATTGGATCATCATCCCAACTATTTGGGGAAAATAAAAAATGTTCCAAACCACCAATCAGCTTAAAGTACCCTCCATGATTTTCCGATAAAAATGGTGATCTTCAATAGCTATGTCAAATTGGGGCTAAATCTCTTTTAGCTGATCTCAGGTTCAAAAGTTTTCCACGTCAGATATGATCAGATCGACCCAAAGCTGAGCCACTTTGGGGATCGAAGAAGTGCAGGTTGCTTGCCATGCTCTTCGTATATTCTTTCTGCTTATTTTTCTGGTTGGTAGCTTCAGCCCAACCGAAAACTGAAATCATCAATCGGTATCATCATCCCAGCTAGGATGTAAAACAAACCAAAAAATTCCGTTGATGATGACTATATAATGCATATCCCAGGTGACCCAGAGACCCCCATTCTGCTTGTTTCTACAATGCGGGTTCCCCCACTCATAAGTTTGTTGTAAACCCCCCTACCATAAAACATAGTGACATCGGACTTATCAACTCACCAACTCAGCTATTTCATTAGCGGGGGGCCACTTTGTATAGCATCTATTTCTCAATGTTTTTTTGTTGGCGAAATCCGAAATTTCGGGTCACCCAGAAACGTTCTTCGCCCACCTGTTGAGTCTTGACTACCTTGCGGAGAGCTGGCCGTGAAAATAACGATTATGTTCTTAAAATAGTTGGTGAATGGATGGTTGTTCCCCTAAATATGCTTAGGTTTTGACCCATCCCGATATCGAGGTGGCAGAATTTAAGCTACTGTATCTAGTGGAATACCTGGAATACCTAGAGTAGATCACAGTGATTCTGGCTGTGATTCCAGAATCAAATTCTTATCCCAAAAAATGCAAAATAAACAGCTCCTCTTTCTCGATGTGGTAATTCTGTCCTCCCATCCTTGGGTCACATGGCTGCTCCGAACACACCAGACTACAAGGGACTACAAGGGTGGGAAACTGGGTGTAGAAAACGGTAACATGACCAATTCTTCCCTAAATGTGGCTATCATGTACAGTACCTATAGCATCCTGGTATGCCCTATTCTCAGACAAACCCAAATATCATATTGTTACGTCTTCTGTATATGTTTTTAATATCCGTTTTTCCATTTACAATCATGAAACAACAGGGATTTAGGAGCCACTGCTCAAATGAAACGTTTCCTAAGTCATGGGGTAACCCCCCCAAATCATCCATTTGATTCTCGGATTTTCCACCATAAGCCATCAATTTTGGGGTACCCCCAATTATCTGGGTAAATTATGATTTCATTAACCTGAATCATGCGGTTTCGGTCGCAGTAAGGTCGTTATAATTTACCCACATAACATCAACAATTATCTAATAACCATCAAATCATCAAAATCATCAAATGGAAAATCCATTTGGTTTCCAAATCATCCAAATCATCAACTATGTTCCATTTATTTCACCAGAATTTCTGGGATTTTCCACTAAAAACCATCAACTTCGGGGATTTTCCACTATAAACCATCAATTTCGGGGATTTTCCACTATAAACCAGAAATTCTGGGATTTTCCACCAGAATTTCCACTATAATTTCGGGGTACCCCCAATTACGGAAAACCACAACAACGGTGATTCAATCGCCTGCCCTCGCAGCGAAGGAGGTCGGCGCACCGAGGCCTCGCGGGAAATTTAAGGAGAGTCAAACGGTTGAAAACATGGGATTAACCATGGGGATTTAACATATGCAAGTTTTACGCGCCTACGACCCTCAAACCTCCACCTACGACCCTTCCAGGTCACACCTGGGGAAGATAAATGCAACAATGTGGTGAACTCGTTCGAGGAAACTTGTGGCAAACCACGAGCATGGCTCTACTGATGACGGTCACGCTTCAACAGGTTGCAAAAACGAAGAAGGCACGTGACGTATGGTGAGGTATGGTGACGTATGGTGAGGTATGGTGAGGTATGGTGAGGTATGGTGCGGTATGGTGAGGTATGGTGAGGTCTGGTGGGGTATGGTGCGGTATGGTGAGGTATGGTGAGGTATGGTGAGGCAATGCATTTGACTCATCAACCGCGTTCTTCAAAAATATATTGGCCCTATTGCCAAGCAGTACCTCCACTAAATCCGAAATAAATGTTAAAATAACTTTAAAAATGATTAAAACAATTAACATATTAATGGTTTATATATGGTTAATATATGGTTAATATATGGTGCATATATGGTTAATATATGGTTAATATATGGTTAATATATGGTTAATATATGGTTAATATATGGCTAATGTATGGTTAATATATGGTTAATATATGGTTAATATATGGTTAATATATGGTTAATATATGGTGTGTATATATATATATGATTAATATATGGTTAATATATGGTTGATTTATGGGTAATATATGGTTAATATATGGTTAATATATGGTTAATATATGGCTAATATATGGTTAATATATATGGTTAATATATGGTTAATATATTGAATATATGGTTAATATATGGTTAATATATGGTTAATATATGGTTAATATATGGTTAATATATGGTATATATATATGGTTAATATATGGTTAATATATGGTTAGTATATGGTTAGTATATGGTTAATATATGGTTAGTATATGGTTAATAGATGTTCACCAGCTTCTAAAATTTATATGGCATAAGTTTATGTTTAATATTTGGATAATGGATGTTAATAGTGGTTTATAACTGACAATAATGGGTAGGCAATGAGAGTGGCAGGCTGTGGGAGTGCGCTGTTTCATAAGTTTTGATCATCACACAAAAAAAAAGAGGGGGGGTGTTGTGAGCGCCAGTTTTTTGGCATTTTTGATATTTCATGTCTGCAAAAGTACCAAACCCTGTTCTTTCCAAAACCAAACCGTGCTGTTTCTGTAACAAAAGCAACCACTGTGCATTCTCAACAGCTCTCCTAATGTCCTACATAGATACATAGTTTCAGCCAAAACAACCATGAATAATAAATACAGACAACAAAACAAACAAGTGCAAATGCCTTTCCAAAGAGTGCAGCGTTGCTTTAAAAATGTATAGACATCTCTACAGGAGTTTCCCTCAACATATGCAATAGTTCTTTTGGGCATGTGCATTCTAAACAGGGACCAATTTATGCAATATGTTCTCTATAAACAATGAAGGAAAAAAATGCAATCTGCACTTGTAAGGTTGCACTGCGTCCTGCGGCTCCGCTCCTCATCTGCTTCCATAGGGATATGTCTTCCACGGCGACCTGGAGCATCACCCTCAAAGCGGAGGCATGCATCCCGTGATTTGGCTGCTGTGCTGCGTTGCTGACTCTGAACTGCAGCGCGTGATGAAGATGCTGCTGCTGCCAGAACTAACGGCTGAGACTTCGCGACATCTTCCGCCGCTTCATCGCCTTCTTCTTGTTGTACATCAGGTCCTTAGCACAAACATGACCAAGACAATTGCCAAATGAGAGAGATTATAGCGCCAGAAAAGGTTGGAAGTCTAATCTTGTTCCCCTTTTCAGTTTGTTAAGGACACATTTCATATAGCATCAAGCTGTCACATCAGTGATACGTAGATGCTTCGTAGCAACGGTCTTCATCGAACATACCTCCGCCGCACACATCCCAGAACATCTCTCTACTGTTTTCACCCCCAAAATAGCCAGTCGAACGAACAGCTGGAACATGATATGTCGGTGACAAAAGCAAGCCAATTTTTCTGGACCCGGCACGCTCCAGAAGCCACTTTCATCTTCCAAGTGGTGGCAAACATCTGATGCGGTAGCATGACTCTGAGCAATGGACAGGGTGAAGCCAGAAGCACTGTCTTCTAACCTCATCACGACGTACCTGCATGATTGCACAGATTTCAGCAGGCATCGCAGGTACAACATCGGCCCAATGTCCATCTTGCAGCTCAGGATGGAGACATACAACAAGCATGGAAGAGACTATGTGCCCATAGTACTTGTCCAAGATAAAGCGGTAGATGTTGAGCTGCAAGTGGTACTTGACACCCTGCGCCTCTGGCAGGTGCTCCAATGGCTCCGCCAAGGCGTGCCAAGGATTTTCGTATTTGTACGTTTGCAATCGACAAGCCTCAGACAAATAAAGCAGATGCTGCTGGCGGCGTTAACTCATTACTTGATACCTTTCACATTTTGCATGACTGTACCCTTTACACCAAGGCACACAAGCTGCCCCTTCTCGTCAGTCGCTGCGAAATCGATGCGACCTGCCAGCTTTTCTTCTGTGGCCCAGATGCACCACTCTGTGCGAAAGGCAAGCAGCGGCTGCGCGCGGCACAAGAAGGTAGCTAGCAGATCAATCTCAGCACAATTCCCATCGATAGCCCCACCGTTTAGTAGACACCTCCACTGGGGATGGGCCCACGTCCCTGCATGCGATGCCCTTTGTGCTTTCAGAGCCCAATCTTCCTTGATTTCAGCAGGAGACATCATGTGACTCTCAAGCATGGCAGAACAACTAGCCAGCGTGCTGCGCAGACACTGGCTTACTTGCACTAAGTTTGGCGAAGGCTGCGCAAGAATGGCCCCCACTGCTGCCAACTCAGGAACTTGTAAACAGGCACGGGCGAGCTGCATCCCATGCATGTAGCCACTGCTGCCGCTGCTTAGCCTTCTCGTACGACTGACTGTAGTACGCGGCTTGCTCCACAGAGAAACCCGCTGCTAGCAATTCTGCGTGAGACTTCTTCGGCTTGGACCCTTGGCTTCGCCTTTTGCCTAATGCAGCTGCTCTATTGTGGCGCGTAGCCAGGTCGCAGGGTCTTTCCGCAGAACAGGAGGTGGATTGGAGGAGCCTCCATACGCGTCGCTGCCGCCAATTGCAAGCAGTAATGCATATGACTCATCAACCGCGTTCTTAAAAAAAAAAAACTATTGGCCCCATTGCCCAGCAGCACCTCCACTAAATCCGAAATAAATGTTAAAATAACTTTAAAATGATTAAAACAATTAAAAGATTGTTTAAAAAATAATTGTTTTGAAATCCTGGGATGCACCAAACACAGGTGAATTAGAATAATCAAAACAATTAAGAGGACGTTTCCTACTAATTAGTTTAATTATTTCAATTATTCCTTGGGAAATCGCAAAATAAATAAAATAATTGAAATAATGAAAGGAATGTGCCTACTATCTTTTTCAATTATCTATCTTATTTCAAATAGTTTAATTATCCCTTGGAAAAATGCTACACCAGCGTGCGGGTCAGATAGGCCCCGCCCCAATCTTACCTCCTGAGCCAAAACCAGGCCTGCCCCGCTGGAAGCTCTTCCCATTCCAGCGCTACCTGGCAGCAGAGGTGTGGTGTACCAACTCGTGGGGCTGCCATTCAAAACAATGGGTGACCAAAAAGGGGTCCTGGAAAAATACGGGCTTCTTGGGATTGGCCACTTGGTGGGAAACAGCATCCTGGCACACCGAAAAAACAAAGTTTCACAAGTGTCAATGGTGGTGTTCCAATGAGTTTTTTTTTGCGAAAAAAACAAAAAATCTGGAGATTTTCCCTTACTGTTTCCTGCGGGTCAAGTTCTGGGAAATGATTGTGATGTTTGTTTCTGTAATCCCCAAACGACACCCCCAAACGAAGCCCTGGTTTAGTATTGCATCGACTCAAAAAAGTGGCCTATTTGTGGAGGATCATCGCATCGTAACTGGATAGTAACTGAGTTTACCCACTTATAACTTACAGGATGGGGCCCCCTAGTTATAAGTTGGTTTATAACCCATCTAAATATAGTTATAAGTATCATACACTATTGTTTTTATAGTTATAAACCAACTTAGCTAACTAACTATGGGGCCCCATCCTGTATATGTGATGGTGATAACCTTGTTGAGGGGACTTACAATCATCAGGGTTATCAACCACTTATCATCAACCAATTACTTTTTCGTTTGATGTCCTCCAAGTAGGGACCACAAAAAGATGCCGATATCTGTGTTTCCAGGATGGTACTTCGCCGATCTCTGCCTTCTATTTCATCATATTTCCTGTTTTTTTTCCTGGTTTTCAACTCTTCTATCTATATGACCGGGGGTTGCTATACAGTAGAACCTGATTTTGCTGCACCATCCTGCCACGAACTGCATCTCCCTAGAACTCGAGCGGATCCAAAAAAATCACTTGCCTTGGGAGAACGACGTGCGGAACTCCTGACGCTTTTCCCCCAGAAACAAAATCTTACCATGGAAAATTGAGTGCCAATCAACCCCCAACTTGGTCTGTTTTAGAATCAAGGCATCCATTTTGAGGGGGTCCATTGGACGCCGATAAACTGCAGCCAGTAGGGTAATGCTTATTCTTGATGAAACCAAGTGCCGAGTCCATGGGTGATTGAAATTTCATAACATCCCCTACTTTGATGAAGCACCAAGATTCTACCCTGCCATTCTACCTCGAAAACGGCTTCGCCTCACAAGCATACGGTTTTGAACATATAGCCCAGGGGGAAAAGGATGAAAATCACTAGTGGAATGGGGTACCCTCTGGTAAACTAACATAACTATAGAAAACCACCATTTTTAATGGGAAAACTCACTATAAATGGCCATTTTCAATAGCTATGTTAAATTACCAGAGGGTACCCAACAGCTTTAGAGAAATGGAAAATCGACTCCGTGAGTCTATCATAAACCCCTTCCACACGGAGCTCCTCACGTCGGTGTGCAACGCCTCCTGAAACGTTGTGCTGAGGGGATCACCAGTATCCCGCAACCCATGGTGCTGATAAAAACCTACAATACTGGGCAATAAAATTTGGGGTAAATGTACAGGATGGGGCCCCCCAGTTATAAGTTGGTTTATAAACCAATATAACCTCCATTAACTATAGTTATATCTACCATAAACCAGTGTTAAACCACTTATAAACCAACATAGCTATCTTGGGGGCCCCATCCTGTAGGATAATGTAGGTAAATATTACAGCACCATGGAGCATCTGGGTATGTACCCATACGTCCCTCCCTCTAACGGCTACATGCTGGATAACTGCTAGCATTCTAGCAACTCATTTACCGGAAAGAAACGCGGTTCAAAGACTTGCCGCCATTCCCATCCTCGCTAAAGGGCCATAAGTTGTGTCAAAATACCCATTTTCAGACCCATTGCCATTGAGAAAGGCATGGCTCAAAAAAAAATGAAAACACCCGCATATTTGCTCAGAGGAATTATACATCTGGGCTGTTGGGACTAGATCTTTTGCTGACCCAAATATAATATCGTCTGGGAGTCGACTGAGGATAAAATTCGACCGCCCTCAATCGACAAATCAAGGAAAATCATCAGAATCTTGAAATTGTTGGGCGTTCTGTCGATTTTTGGTGGATGACAGTATAATACCAACGTTCACATCGTGTTTTTCTTCACGTTCCCCCAACTCCAGGAAGTCCCGTCGATCCTAGTGGAGTGTCCGGGTGTCCTACAGATTGTCCATGGAAAAACCCATAGGTCGCCGTTGCGACCCCTGTGACCCCGCCGCGCCCAGGGCCTCAAGTGGCACCTCTTGCAAGACCTCTCTGGGGATCCACCCGTAGGCAGGTTTTTGGGGTGCAGAGATGGGGCCAAGGTGTTGAAATTTCACCCCATGAATAATTACTAGTTACCATACAAAGTGGTTACAAAGATCTATAGTTGGTTTATGAATACTATAGTTACAAAGATACACAAAGATCATAAACCATAAATATTGGAGTTGTTTAAAACAACCCCAACGAATCGCGAGTTCGTCAACGAATCGCACCATTTGGACCTGGTGTTTCAAACCGCTGAACGTTGCGTCATTTGGTGAAATCTCCACCGCTTCCAGCAAGAAACGCCCCAGGCTTTGGTGTTTAATCGTGTCTTAAAGCTTACCCTCTGGTAATTTAACATAGCTATTGAAAATGACCATTTATAGTGGATTTTCCCATTAAAAATGGTGATTTTCCATAGTTACGTTAAATTACCAGAGGGTAATGCATCTTAAAGGCTGATTTGCTTCATCCTTTCTTCAGATATAAGACGTATAAGGTATCTAATATTTATTTGACATAGACTTGAGTACTTGAATCATATGTTTATGAGTCAGAACCCTGGCGCCCGGATTCCGTACGCAAAGTCATAGCTGGCATAGCTGGATGTGTAATTCCCCAAATATAGTATAGAATATATTGGCAATAAGAATAGGTTTTGACATGTTTTCACCCATCCAATTCCCCAAAGATAGTATTTAATCTATCATTTAATAGGATAATTTTATACAATGTGAGGCACCCAAGATAGCTAAGTTGGTTTATAACTCCAATAACTATGGTTTATGGTATTTATAACTAAAGTTACTGGGGCGAATCTAAACCAACTTATATCTTGGGGGCCTCACATTGTAGGTTTTGACCCATCCCTATATGTCTATCTCTTCATCACCTGAACTGCCATTTTTTTGGAACCTCCAGGGCTGTCATGGCACCATTCAACTGGACGGCCTTTTGGCGTCCGCCTGGGAGAAAGAAACCGAGCTTGCAATTGGGAAGTACAATAATGTGTGTATGTGTATATATATACACAATCTATAATATGTATATATGTGACTTTATGTATAAATACATATATATAACTTGTATATATGAGTTGTATATATATATATAATTATATATATACATATGATTACATATGGCTTTGCATATTGGGTGTATCCTAAAACCACACCTCGGAACAAAATGCAGAAGTATAGTTCTGTAGAAGCATATAGACATGTGGGGTTCAAGAAAAAGTGATAGAAGAATGCAAATTTTGAGGAGAACAAAGTTCATTGATTTTCAAAAAAGTTGCTCAGAGAGAAGCCATCCAGATCAGGATGCTTGATAGAGATCCTGACCTGGATGAAGGTTTACGGTTCCCAATCCAGGAATGATTTGACCAGATTCCAGCAATCCCAAAATTACCTGAAGTCTGAATTGCAGTTTATTTTTCAATCTGGCTGGGTCAGAAGCTTGGAATACATTGACGTTGCTAAAGAAAAACATGTTGTGTTTAAATGCCTGCACACTTTTGTTTGATAACTCCATGTCTGAATAGTCACAATTTCTCGCGTAAACGATTCCATGGTTCTTGATTGTTCATTCTTCAACATGGATTTTGCTAGAGTTATTGTAACATTGTAGCTGTCTTATTTTTCTGCTTTTCCATAATGTGGTTAAAACAATAATAAGCCATCCCCCATTCATCACCATTTTTATAGGTGGTATGTTTACCATTCCCAGTCATGGGTGGTTTATGACATGGTTTTAACATGTTTTAACCACATTAGATCTCATTAAATCCCATTAGATCCCATTAAATCACCACTTTTCATAGTGAAATCCCATGAAAATCCCATGAAAATCCCATGAAAATCCCATGAAAATCCCATGAAAATCCCATGAAAAGCACCTTTTGGCTGTTGATTTCGACCCATTTCCCGGGAAAATGGGCCCATCAGGGCCCCGAGCCACCTCGCTGTGCATCCGAATCCTTGGGGCACCAGAGGGCTGGGGCCAAAGATTGAGGTAACCTTTTGGTAATGTAGTAGTGATTAGTGATGATTAATAATCAAAGGCCATTTCAGGATCCTAGATTGGAGGTACCTAGCATATATAAGGCCTATGTAAGGCCTATGTAAGTGAATATCTCCACAAAATATGGCCTTATATGGTACAGTACCTCCAATTTAGGATCCTGAAATGACCATTGAAATAATGATTATCAATGATTAATAATGATTAATAGTGATTAATAGTGATTAACAGTGTTTTTATCTATGAAAAAAAACACCATTGATTATATTACGGTAAATTAATACGTAGGTAAATACCGGTAAGACATTCATTTTTATTGACCCGTATTTCCACATGCCTTTCCATAGCTACGATTCACCGCTTGGAAAACATGAAGATCACATCTGGTTGGTGGTATACCTACCCCTCTGAAAAATATGAGTTCGTCAGTTGGGATGATGACATTCCCAATATATGGAAAAACAAAAATGTTCCAAACCACCAATCAGACATTCATCCAATCAAAATCAATCAAAGAATATGAATGGGATAAGAATGGATAAGATGAAAATATTTGGATGTGCGCAAAGAATCAAAAGAAAACAACTGATTCTCCATAGATTCCCCAATCGTAGTGGATTTCCCTGTGGGAATATTTAAAAAAAAAAACATCTTCAGCTCCTCATTGGATGTTGCCTGGGTACCCAAGGCTTGTCAAGCGGAAATGAAACCCAGTAGTTCGCCAGGCCTTTACATCAGCGCTTTCACCCTTTGGTTGTTTTATTCTAAGCAAAGAACACGATTTGAATCGGGGAAGGATTACGTAAAATTGCCCGCATACATTTGGTGGTTTCCATAAATGGGGGATCCTCAAAGTGAATGTTTTATAATGGAAAACCCCAATCTAAAATGGATGATTTAGGGGTACCCCCATGACTTAGGAAACCTCAACCTTTCCACTTATTTACCTTCGTCCATGCTGGGAGATGGCCGATAGCCACAACCTGGGGTCATGAGTTCACGGAGGATCTCAAAGCCAGTGGATCGGGGCTGGATCTACCTTTGCTGATCTACTTTTTTGGTTCTTTAATTTTTTTTCGACCCTTTAGGGAAATGATTTGGCGCTGTGCCCAATGATTCGACTCATAAACCTGGGAAGAAACACCAGTCGAATCCATGATGATTTCGTGGCCTCATCCTGCAGGCCAAATGGTGCGCTTTCCAGCAGCAACGGGTCTAGTTGTTTCTCCCCCATCAAAACAAGCGACCAATTATTCACCCATGAAGAACTTCCATTTTCAATAGCTGAATTTCAACACCCCCATGGCAATGCCATCCTTTCCCAAATCTTACCCTCTGGTAATTTAACATAGCTATTGAAAATCACCATTACTAATGGGTAAATCAACTATAAATGGTCGTTTTCAATAGCTACGTTAAATTACCAGAGGGTAAGCCATGTCAAAAAAAAAACGTTGAAATGCCTCGTAACTTGGCCCAACCGTCCCTCAATCCCGATTGATCCAATCCATCCACGTCACCGCAGAAAAGAAACTGTCATAGCTCGGCCTGGAGAAGTCAACTGGTTCAAGACTTGGTCAACTGTGTTTTGTCCTTTAAAAAGGTATGCTGGTTGGTGGTTTTAACCATCTTGACAAATATTAGTCAATGGGAAGGATTATCCCATATATTATGGAAAATAAAAAATGTTTGAAACCACCAACCAGTATGTATGTATAATATAAATATAAAGAATATGCTGGAATATGATGAGATAAACATGACTTTTTGTATGGGAAACTCATGGGGAAACTTTTTTTTTGGAATGTAATGAGAATATCGTGGAAACATCATGGGAAAGTTACACGGTGAGGTCTCTCACCTGCCTCAGGTCCGGGAGACCTTCAAAGTCGGTGCCGGTCGTATCACCTGTTCAGGGGCTTCTGGTATGTTTGCAAGTGGTAACCAATACTGTATACCCTAGCTATATCCATGGGATACCAAACATTATAAACATAGCTAGGGTTGTTAACTGCGTTTTTTCCGTGAAATAATGTTAAATGAATCATCAGCATAGGAATATCCTAGCTAAATAGATTGCATATGGCTTGTTAAATGTTGTTAACCATAGCTACTGGGATGCACTTCCAGAAATTGTTGGATCGGACAGACAGGGGGATGCACTGTAAGCCTTTATTAAGAGCCCAGGGCCCTGCGTGTATACCGTATATCTATATATATATGTATGTATATCATTCATATATATATACATACATATACATACATAATACATAATATTTATATATTTATACATATGTCTGTTGTCTGCATATATAGATAAAGTAGATATAGACCCAGTGTAAGCTGATGAGTCTGCAGAGTTTTCTCCTGTTTTTTGCTACTTCACAGCCTGTTCCGAAGCGCGAGGAGAGTAGATTCGCTGCGGTATAGTCTCCCATGGCGACGACCCGTACGACCCGAGCCGCACGGTGTAGCTTTCAGAATTGGCTAGTGGTTTGAACTAATCAGAAACGGAGTAGCCAGTTAGAATCATTCTGAATAATGGTTGCAAATTAAAAAAAAACAACAAAATTTTGAAACCACCAAACAAAGAATGTATGCACGGTTGTCAACGTATGGAGTTCTAGCCAAGAGAAGCTTGCTGCAAATGCTCTCTCTGACGCATGTTGCTCTCACTTCAAGCGCTTCTATGGCAGACTCATTGGAAATCGCGTTGTTGTCATAGAGGCAGTATCTTCTGCCCTGCGGATGGTTTGATAGTGAAGTTTGGTGTGATTTGGCATTGGCATTCATTCTTCAAAAAGTAATAAAATCATATAAAATCCATAAAATATCAATGCCAATGCCCTTCAATGCACCTTCCTAAGGTCCAACACCTTCAGGCCGGCAGGCCCGCGGCAAGGGCGGCAAGGGCGGCTTGCAGGTCGCGGGTCAAGTCACTGGGTACCGAAGTGAGTGCTTTAAGAATTTAGACAACCTGATTGTCTCAAGAGGTCTCAAGAGGTCTCAAGAGGTCTCAAGAGTTTTGTTGAGTTTTGTTGAGTTTTGTTGAGTTTTGACCTATCTTATGATTTTTCAGATTCAGATTGATTCAGACGTTGGGTGTAGGATCACTACAATATACTACAATGTTCAAGCTTTGGGGCTTCAACCACTCCAAAGTGATTGCTGATCATGGTCTCGGAGACTCCCAAGAGCTGCAATGATCCCAAGAACTTGGCTCCGTGAGGCATGGCGCCGCCGAGAAAAAAACCTGGAAGAGACCATCTGGTAAATAAACATAGACCCTGGCAGATAGGGGTTGGAAGACTAGATCTGTTTTGGAAAATCACCTCATCTTTCGCCAGGAATTGCACCAGAGGATGGCATTGAAACTACCCTCTGGTAAACTAACATAACTATGGAAAATCACCATTTTCAATGGGTACATCCACTATAAATCACAATTTTCAATAGCTATGTTAAATTACCAGAGGGTAACTCTGTTGTTTCAAACCCTCGGCTCGTGAAAAAAGGCAGGAGATAACTTTCCGGAATATCAATGGATTGGTTGAAGGGAAAATCTTAACCGGAAACCATAGGTATTTTCCCATTTTCAGATCATGGGGCTTTGCAGGAATTTTCCCTTGAACCAATCCATTGAGAATAGCCTCTGAAAAATCAGCCACATGGCAGCCGCTGGAAAATCCAAGGTGGATCACCTCAGAAGTGGCGCCATGAAGCCACGAAAACCCACAATGGCTTCACCCTTTGATGGCGCAATCCCCACGATGGGGGGGATAACCTCTTGTAAACTAACATAGCTATGGAAAATCACCATTCTTAATGGGTAAATCCACTATAAATGGCCATTTTCAATAGCTATGTTAAATTACCAGAGGGTAACCCCGATCATCGACCACGTCCTGAGAAGCCCTTCGCACTGCCAAAGGCTCTTGGTCAACCTGGATTCGGAAGTCAGGGCAGGGCTAGTCTTGCTGGAAGCCCCCCACAGGCCCCTCCGGTGATGTTTCTTGGTTTGTAAACAAAACTGCAGATCATTCCATGAAACCAACTCCAGCAAATCTACTCATGATGCAATTTACCTTTCTGGGTGGTTCCTTCCTGGGGGTGTGCATTGATGTGTATATGTATATATATACATACATACATTATATCTATAGCAAAAACAAAACTTACTCTATCTTGGATACCTGCCAAACATCAAGGGCTAAAAATATGGGAAGTGCCTAACATAGGTGTAATTACTTCAACACCTGGATGGTTTATTAAATGGAGAATCCTATTAAAGTGGATGATTTGGGGGTACCCCTATTTAGGAAACCTACATATGGGGAAAATTGGTAAAAGTTCGGGAAAAAAAGGGAATAAATGGGACTTAAGATGATCTGCAAAATGGAAATATATGGCCTGTGGGAAAGTTGGCTAGTACCCTTCGGCATTTGCCGAAATTCATCGACAATGGTGGCTACAGTATCGATAAGTATGGAAAACAGGAGTAGTATGATGTTTTGTTTTGCTACAATGACCCAGTAAGGCTGTTTCAAAATACGCTTCACTAAAATTATGTTTATATATATAATTATATATATGTTTATATCATATATCCAAAACCTAATGACAACAACCATACAACCACGCACGTTTACGAAATTGGCTGGGACTCAACCAGCAAGAAATCGACCGGGGATCGAGCCGCCAGATGTACCCAAAGCTGCTACGGGATAACCCCAGCATTGGTTAACTTACTATGGAAGCAGGGGTACCCTCTGGTGAACATACAAAAAGCTATGGAAAATCAGCATTTTTCATGGGAAAATCCACTATTTCTATGGCCATGTTCCATTGCTATGTTAAATTACCAGAGGGTATTTACCACCTCGAATTCCACCCCCACCGAGGGCTTTTCTGAACGCTGGCCATGGCTAAAGACACAACTTTTCCAGTGAGAAACTTCTGAGTTAATCTTGTGAAACTTCTAAATGACAATCTGATGCATTACGTCCTTCGTATCACCTTTGCCAACAATGAGGATTTGTTCCAGGATTGTCAACATCCCTTGGTCGCTTGATCAAAGCTACCAGTCCCTCACGGCTACCGCTTAGATATCCTACAAATCCTAGAGATCCATTTTCATCTGAGTACTATGAAATAGTTCTATACTCTCTCGTTTATTCCCAAATAATTACAGTAGTTTCCCAACTCATTGGTCACAAACTCCCCCACGACCAGGACACCGCTAAACACACCGCTGTTGTCCAGCGCTCCAGCACAGCGCCAAGCGGCCCATTCGGGAAGGTCCATGGGCATTTGGTTCAAGATGGGCGCTGTACAGAACTGCGTCAGCAAGCCTCGCGAGGCGCTCGGCGCTCGAGGCTTAAGGCCTTGCCAAATATGGGAAGTGCCTAACATAGGTGTAATTACTTCAACAGCTGGATGGTTTATTAAATGGAGAATCCTATTAAAGTTGATGATTTGGGGGGTACCCCTATTTTAGGAAACCTACATATGGGAAAAATTGGTGAAAGTTCGGGAAAAAAAGGAATAAATGGGATTTAAGATTCAAGATGATCTACAAAATGGCCTGCGGGAAAGTTGGCTAGTACCCTTCGGCAGAAATTCATCGAAAATGGTGGCGATCGAAGTATATGGAAAACAGGAAATCACCAACAGAAGTGTCAAGGATTATGATCACACCTTCAACATCCCTGGTGTTTTTAGCCCATGTTGTACCCCTTAAATGATCAGCATCAGCATAGGGATCTAATCACCAGGGAGCCGTCGAAACCTCAGTAATACCCTCTGGTAATGGCTGACATAGCTATTGAAAATGGCCATTGAAATAGTGGATTTTTCCATTGAAAATGGTGATTTATAGTGGATTTACCCATTGATAGCATGGTGATTTTCCCATCAGTTATGTAATACATAGTAAACGTTTACCAGAGGGTAACCACTCAGCGGATGATCCTGTTGGAATGGGATCCAAATTCTTTTCCAAATTCTGAGAGTTTCTCAGTGGACTTCAGGAGATGTTTCCATCACTGATATCATCACTGACTAACAGTTTGCCATTGAAAATCCCCGTTTCGATTGATGATTTACCTGTATAAAATGGCGAGTGTCCAGTTCGCAAACTGTGAGTTTACCAGAGGCTACACATCTTCTCTTTTTTGTTTTCTTCGGCGGGACTTTAAGAATCATCCCACTTAGGACTTTAACCCACACCAACCCCGGATCCGTGCCACTGATCCGTGGCATGATCCTTTCAGCAATGGGGAGAATCAATGGAAAATACACCGCAGGGTGTAAGACCCCGTTGGGTCTTCGCCATGTATATTACTTCTCTTGGAAACTGTCAGATCAAGATTCCAGACCTCCGCCTGACTGGGGATTCTTAAAATGGGGGATCCCCAGTCGTTAACATGGTTGTCTCAAGACTAAAATGGTCATCTATGACTTGGATGATTTGGGGTGCTCCCACTTTAGACACCTCCCTTTGCCTTTTCATGCCTTTCCATGAAATATATGAAATTCTGTACTGGTACCAAAATAAAAAAAACATTCTTGGGATGATTTACCATACCCCACCCCCTATGGTTTTTCATGGAGATATTGCGATGCCGAATTCGCCTTGCATCTTGAAGTAGTTCACCAGCATCTCTAAGGTGAGTTTGTAGCACTTTTGGTGAAGCCCGGCCACTGCCTGGCGTCGCGGGAAAGCACCCGTCACGGCCCATCTCGATGCTGCAGCCATTGAAAATGGTGGTGTTTCCATAGTTTTGTCACTTTACCAGTGAGTATTGCATCTGGTTTGTGGTTTCAACCCCTCTGAAAAATATTAGTCAGTTGGGATCATTATTCCCAATATGTGGAAAATAAGAAAATGTTCCAAACCACCAACCAGGCATGTGTTTCATTGTGTTTGTCTGATGTTGGGTATCCCAAAATCTCAGTGCTTCCACTCGAAGTCAAAATGACACGTCCAGATGGTTTCAAGAAAGTCCAATGGCGCATTGCTCAACAAAAGCCAGCCCTTCTGATGTTGATGATTAATAACGTGCCTGTGTACATGTATATGTATAATTATGTAGAATTATGTATAATAATAATGTAGAATTGTGTATAATTACGTATGTATATGAGGTTTCAGCCGCGGTGTATATATATATATATGTGTATATATATAATATATACATGTATATATATATGTCATACAGGATACAGTATCTCTCGTCTCACTCTCTCGTCTCACTCTATCTCTCCATTTATCCCTCTCTCTCTCTCTTTATATACACGTGTATGTATAGATATAGACACAGAATAAAATTCATACAGACATACACTAAAATCATACGTATGTAACTATAGAGCCAAAAAGATTTATGCACTTGCCATACCTCCCACTGACACCTGGTCAGGTGCTTTCTGCAGCGCCACCTGTGCCGTTTTTGGGTCACCTTAGCCTTAGTCACCTTTCAT